ACCTGTTCTTTATTCAATCTGTTCCAAGTATTTGCTGCATGCCATGGTAGATTGGCTTCATAGTTTGTAGACATGGTAGTGTTGCCTGTTAAAGTTGAGTAAAGACTGATAATTACATTGAGAAGGAAAAGGGCCATAATTTCAACTCGTCTTGGTACTATTGAAAATGTGGTTAATTAAGTCAATCTTTTTTTGATCTGTTAATTCAAAAAAAAGCAAAGGCAAGTATCTATTTAATACTGCCAGTATTTTTATTATTGAGGCATTAGCATGGTGAACTGTCTTATATTTAGTAAGCTGGTGACATTGGCAAATTTATCCTGAAATATGCTGCTTTGCATACAGTTCAAACAACAAAGGACTTACCGTGAACAGTGGAAGAAGTTGTTGATTTCTTTGTGCTTTGTCTCGAGTGCCGTCACAAGTTAACAACGTCAAGACAAACACAACTTGGTGCTGTGGAGAAATTAAATTAAGTGTTAACACTTAATTTTGCAGGAACTTGCTCAAACATTAATTTTTTATCAGCTTGTTCAGTGTGGATATTTACAATATGGCTAGCTTTGTGTGCATGCAAGATGCACTCAGATTAAAGTGCTATGAATCCTGTGCTATGATTTGCTATCCAAGTGGGCAAGATCACGCTATCTTAGCCGTTCAGGATCTCTCGCTCTGTCAGGCAAGAAAATAGTGTTCTTTTCCACATAATAAATCCTTTATTGACCAAGCTTGTATGGTCAGGATGACTGGATATTGGTCTTGTTCTTTTCTAGTGTGTTTACTGATCGAGATTGAGTTGAGGTCCATAAACATGTAAAAAAAGAACTTGACCAATATCCAGCCATCTTGACCTCATGCTTGGTCAATAACACATATGTCCTTGACTTTGTCTTGCTAATCCCGGCACTAGCAACATTATTCACAACTCAATGGACAAAGAAGCACCGAACACAGTGATACTGGCATGCTGTGACTTTGGCCAAAGTGGAAGACAGTTCTAAACAGTGACAAGAACTCCCCCCCCCCCCCCCCCCCCCCCCCCCCCCCCCCCCCCNCTTCATTGATAAGCACATCAATAATTTTGTGCTGTTCAATAAATTGACTTGTTTCAAGCCCAAGTACTCCAGATGTGGTAAACTGAACTCCAAGATCTTTGACAATCAACACTGATTCTAGAAAATGAATTTTCTGAGAATGAACCAAATTGTTAGCCAGTAATTTGAATAAACTGCAATAGTTTTGGTGTAATGTTTGGATGCATAGGCCCAGCTCCATCATTCTAAAATTCAGTGATTTAAATTTCCGCTATTTTTCACTAAGATGTTAAAATAATTAGAAGTTATGGAACAAGCCTTTTCCAAATACTTGAATAACTCACCTTTATGAACACCAAGGCAAAACAATTTTAGGAAGATGACCAAAGAAACCAAAAGTGGCCAAACTAGAAAGTTTGCCGATGAAAGGAATTCCTAGAAAGAGATAGAACCATGATTGTAAATGCGTATCCAGGGCAAAGAGATTTGTGCTTAGCAGGCATAATACACACACAAAATACAACAACTCATGGAGCGAGCGAAGTGAACGATACAACACATGAGGTTACAAAAATGAAATGCGATTCCTAGCTATGTACAATACATGTTCACCCTTAACTTGTATTAAATATTAATACCACTTATCAGTTGGTTAAAAGTGAAGAACAGCTCCTAAAAGATACCATCAGTCAACAGTTGGCTGTCTGCTGACCGACAATTGGCTGCTTGTTAGCCAACAGTCGGTCAACAGATGCCCAACAGTTGGTGGTCAGTTATCCAAAATTTTTTAGACTTCTAAAATTGCCGGTGGACTGTCAGGCGACAGTTGGCCAACAATTGGCTAACTATGAGCAATCTGTTGGTGTCCATCAGAAGGCTGTTGATTAAACTGATTGTTAATATTTTCTTATTATTACATGAGAAGGAAAAATTCCTGCCACTCTTGATAGTTACTATGGCCATAATTTGTCTGCACATGCCTTTTAGTAGACCTGCCAACTCTCCCGGTTTTCCTGGCAGTCTCCAAGTTTTTCATAAAATCTCCCGGTCTCCCGGTCAGAGTACCAAATCTCCTGGGAACTTCCTACCGTGGCTCTTTTAAATTTTTTTTTTCATTAATTTCGTTATTTTCGAGAGATGTCGGGAACATTCGGAAGGTCTTAGGGTGATTTTCGGAGAGTATTCAGACATTGTCAAAAATTATATTATTACAATGCAAAGATTTCTAGTGGTCTCCAGGTTTTTGTACTCTAGGGGTTGGCAGGTATGTTTTAGTGGGCACTCAACAAAACTTACCCAATATTATATGTTAAACATGGACCATCGTACATTGTAGAAAACTAATTTTTTTGCCTAGGCTAGCCTGAATAGTATTCTGATTGCCCTGATTAACAATCTGGTTATAGGCCAATCTACTGCGGAACTCTGATGGTCGATATTTTGTCTTAAGCTTTAGACTGTCTAGACTTTGACTCATATTCACCAGTTAATAGTTCTTAAGAAGACATAATCAACAACACAGGTAGCCAGAGCTCACTTTCTGTAATCACAGATGCGTTATTTTAGTTTATTGGCCGGTCTGAGAACATGCATGATTTTAGTAAAAGTATTTTAACGAAGGTTTAGGTCCCCCTCCTGTTACTGGAACATAGATAGATACCATACAAGTATGCTAAGAAATTCAAGTATCCTAAGAAACACGTACACACAACATCCTTCGTATCGTCCTTACCTGACAAATAGCAGCAACAACTGCTGTAAAGCAAGTCAAAATGAAAACTAGGGGTAACAATGGTTGCTTAGAACGTTCTATGGCGAACGAAGATGACAAAACACCATCTCCTTTGAAGTGAATCTTCAACTTTTGGCCATAAATACTTGAGCCGTCAAATTCACGACGCTGTTCGTTCATCAAGCACCGTGTTCGTTTCAAAGTTTACGTTCAAAGGTCGTGCAAAGCGTCCGCCATCTTGTTTTGTGCTCAAAATACCCATAATGCTTCACAAACGTCCCAAACGAATTAAAGATGGCGGAAAGCGGGCCAAATGTCGATAAACAGAGTGAAGGGAGTTCAGTGAGTGATACAATCAACAAACAGGGCTGGCTATCAAAACGTAGTCGCCTCTCCAAACGCTGGGATAAACGTTGGTGCTGTCTTAAGAAAAGTGATTTGTCTTACGGCACAACGGCTGAGGTACAGTAAGCTAGAAGCTTTTGGAAGCTTTGATCAATGTTTGATTTTGATCCCTTTTTTTGTCAACAATTAGTTTAAGACTTACTTTGTACGAGATTTCGACTGCTTTAATGCGTACCTATTAACCTCTACGGTATTTTATCCTTGTTCTATGGCTGACTCATGTTAATGTGGGGGTTTCTCTAATCAATATTTATAATCTTTATACTTGTTCATTGAACAAGTCAAAACTCCCAGACCGGAGAGTTACTCTTGTCTATACCTGTCTCCAGGACCACTGGACAGGCCAAGACAGTTGTAGCTGGATGGGAGATTGACTTTTCAAAATATAGGAAATTGTTAAAAAAATTATGAGTGATTTGTCCATGTACTGATTTGTTTGTTTTGATACCTAAATTGTTTTGTTGATTAAATACAAATATACACAGTCGAGTGGCCATATTATGGGTATGCCGAGGACGTTCGTATTGTATTAAGATAAAGATTGTAAATGAAGTTTGATTAGACCAGTTCTCTGGGACCAACACTAATAAAACTCCTGCGTTTTAGTCAGTCAGAACATGCACATGCCTTTGGATGTAATACTTAATCTTTGCTTTAAAATGTAAAATTTAATTTGAATTGCTTTATTTTGCTATTTTTATCACTTATGGTTTTCAGGACCAACATAAAGTAGTTTCCCTAGAGGGATGTGAAATGTCTGATTGCAGCATTGACAAAAAACAGTTTGCATTCAGGATAAAACCAAGAGGGGCAAAACGTGTCTACTTCTTTTGTGCGGAGAGTGAGCAAGACCAGCAGGAATGGATGCAAGCTATATGCTTTGCAAAGGCCTCCGGAAATATGACCGATGGTTCCCAAGCTTGTACAATACAGTAAGAGGAATTAGCTGTAAACATTTCAAAAGAATTAGGTGTCAGCTGAAAGAAAGAAATCAAGTGAGACTTGATGATGTATTGTGTACAGAGTATGCTGAACATTCATCGTTTGATTGCAGCTTCAAATATCCAGTGAGAATCTGGGACTGTGTTGTTCATATTCAACAAAAGACAATATGGATTATTTATCAGCTTTTTATTCACTAATAAGTAAACCCAGTTTCAGGTTACACCCACTTTCAGTGTTACAGGTAGGTGCATAGGCAACATCTTTCTACTATCTTTTGACATGCCATTTTTCGACATGCTATGTAAACAACTGAAAGACCATGTAACTGTGAAACTGGCAATTTTTCCAGTTACTAGTGGAAGAAATGATGAGTAAATGATAATTACTGACCTCAAATGGCTGAAGAAAATTGTGGACTTCGCATGTTTCTCGATTTACAGGATAATTCAAACGATTTTAGTGTAGTCTATTGGCTCTCAACAGTGGTAGAATTGGGCCACTGCTGCTTTTAATATTCGCAAGGTGTAAATATTCAAAACAGCGGATTCATTTCTCCTGGAATGACTTGTCGATACTCCTAACCTTAGCTTGATGTCAAATAAATCCAGCTTTCATCACTGACATTCAAGTTTGACTTCACAGTAAAGAAGTCCGCTGTGCATACATTTTTGATGTAAGCCAGGTTACCTAGCATGTCAATAGGTGTCACCTATACATGTAACACTCAAAGCAGGTGTTAAGTATTTTTCGCATGTCTGAATTCAAGGCAATGTTAGCAGTCAGAGAAAAAATCTCTTATCAACCAGCATACTACAGTAAAGGTTAAGACTCTAATCTCGTCTGCATATGAGCCAGTGCATCAGGCTCAGTGCTCATGTGAGCTGACAGTTGACTGACAGTCAAACAACATGCGGTGCATCAGCCACTGTTTTTATGCGCAACATGTAAGATACATTGGCTTTGCATTGCATTGACAAGGTGCATCAGCATTTGCCAATGCAGTGGTAGAATCAGATTCACTAGATCCCCTTAACTTCATCCTGCTCTGGTATTAAATTACGTTAATCAGGATTGACTCCCTGTTATGCCTCTGAGTTTTCCTGAGTGACTAGTCTTTACAACTGCACACATTGATTTTTCAATGACAAGTGCAAAGATCACTTTTAGTTGATGTGTTTTTTCCAGACCTCTATATTCCAGATACATGTAATTTATGTTACTAACATCCGAGGAGCCAAAATTTGTAGTGTGTATGTGTTTGCACAAAAACAGCCTTGCAGAGAGTTCATATCCTCCATTTACAACCTGGCAGCCAGAGTTGATGTGACAACCTAGCTCTATGTTTAATGCATTGACAGCACTGGTTTAAGATCAAAATGAATTTAAATAGCAACTACAGTGTTAGCAAAGATTGATAAGAAGGATTTGCAATTGACATATGACTTTAGACTGCACATTTCATTTGTACCATTTATATTAAGAAAGTAAGTTAATTACATAATGTATGCTTGGTCACTAAGTGATCAAATTTAGATATATTTTATCAAAAGCGTAACATTAAATGTTCACCATTTTCGATCTATTTACAGTGTTATTTTAGCCATTTCATTAAATGCTGCATGCTTTTATTTATTTCACCATGTTTTTGATGCCATCTCTGTTTACATGCAGGAAGAAAAAGTTTTGTAAAGAATTAAGATATAAACTAAGATGAACACATATTACATAAATAAGTATAATAAAGATATGTAACTATCTTGATCGCAGGTTAGTAATTATTGTTAATAAACAATTATTGTTTTTATTAATTCCTTGTGAGTCACTGAAATGTACTAGATAAAGCAATGTACGGTTATGGGAAATATCCACATCCACCTTAATGAGATCACTGGAAGTTGCCAGGGAGGGGTGTCTGGGGAGGGGGGGGGGGAATCACAAGTTAAAGTTCTGGATTTTATCGGGATAATTTTTGACTAAGTTCCTATCACAACAGCAGTAATTGTTTGTCTTAGCCTTGCTTGTCATCTGCAAAAGCACCAGTGAAACAATACTCCTTATTTGATGGTTTAACATAATAATTATTGGTAAACTCACAAACTATCCATGCATATTGTATATTGTTTTGGAGGCAATGGTCTGCCTCCGTCCCTGAGGTAATGAGAAGGTAATGGACAACACAAGATACAACACTGAATTCTTTCCCACAATGTTGCTTTTGAAAGATCTGCAACAGAGAAATTAACAGAGATGTCAGGTTTAAAAAGTAGGCTGTATGTTGTCAAAGCCTGCGTATTAGTACACAGGAAAGTCTTTATCTATATGGTTAGCCCAGGCACAAAGTCCACCAGCAATGTCTTTAACTACAACATCACAAAGAATGCTCTCATCTTGTACATCTTGTTTGCTTTCTGTTTGGAGTAGTGTATTGCTATAGTTGAACTGCAACAGTTTGTCGGTATTTCTGCATAGTGTTTCTCTTAACAACTTCACAGCCTTTTGAGAATCATTTCCTTGCTTGCAAAGTATATATACTGTAAAGAGAAATGATAGATGAATCTTTTAAAATGTTCTTCTGACTTTGAGTTCGAAAATGAAGCTCCAGAAAACAGACAAACCCTCAAGGAAGACCTTTGGAAATTCAAAGTGAGAGAAGGATTTCAAAGGCAAAATTTTTAACAAAAGTAAGGTTTGTGGTTTCAAGCCAAAAACACCCCCTTTTGGAAGGGTATAGTTGAAGATTTAATCAACATTTGACTCACCATTAACTGTTGATGAGTTTGTCTCTTCCTTAGCCAGATTGATAATTGCCTCTTTCAGTGTGTTTTGTTGGTCGGAGGAATGGAGAACTCTCAGTGGAATATCTTACAATGATTTCAGTTAGGGAAAACTTCTGCTGCCTTATAATCTGGTACAGCATAAATAGCCAATGAACAGATATTAGACGTCTATTCATGTATCTCGCTAACCAAGCATGAGGGCTGTACTGGGACAGAAAGATTGGGGGCCAATATTCTACCAGTATATCCCAAGTAAGCTTGTTAATAAGATATTTAATTACATGACTGAAACTACCCAAAAATCTTCAAGAGTGATCTTGCAGGATCATTTGGGTAGTGCCCAGTCCAATACTAATAGCCTCTTGGACTGGCAATGGAGCAATCTGATTGCTTGAATTTAGATATAATTGGCCCTCTGAACTAATTTAGTTGTGTAAGAAAGTCAGATATCAATTTTGCAGACTTCCCAGTCTTCTTGTTAGGATTTTCATAACTATTCTGTGATTAAAAAGTGAAAATACTTGAAGCTAGAGGATACTCAGTGATTCAGTCGGAAGAGAACAAATTTCTAGCTCAACAGGTTCCCTCACATCCAGGAGAATATGAGGGCTGTGCTGGTCCATAACCTGTTTATATTCCTGAGGGAAAAGAATGATACCACTGGCCGGTTAGTACTGACATGCGTAATGGTAGCACATCGTGAGATAACTGACTTTTTTCACTTAACACTGAAATACAAAAGATCACAGAGTATAAGTTTACAGAACACAGGGTTGAATTCAAGGCATTAATTTCAGTCTTTTGGTGCACTATATGAATCTCCACAATTATGTGCAGAGTTTTATACTTACCTGAACAGAAATCCTTTGTTCTTTGGGTAGAATTTTCAAAGAAGGAGTCTGCAGAAAGGAAAGAAAATAAATATTACTAACAATATTTAGAGAGAAAGCCACATCAGCCTTAGCTGGTTTTCATGCAGGTCCTCTATCCTGGTTGAATTGGAATTTGGAGATGTTGGTTTTTGTGGAGGGAGGAAAAGTGGAGAACCCAGAGAAAAACCCTTGGGGCAAGGCAGGAACCAACAACAAATTCAACCCACATACGTGTATGACACCAGACTGGTATGGAACCCAGGCGACATTGATAGAAGATGCGCACTTATACCATTTCTACTCCCCCAAATTGAGTTAGAGACTAAATAAAAAAGCACACCTGGGGAAGGACTGCTCAGGAGTGGTGAAATGTACCAATATTTTTTATTCAAATGACTTCCAACCTTATCTGTAGCTGATGCCCCACAGAAGAGCTCGTAATCCAGAAGCTTGTTTATTGATGGATTGTCTCCACAAACACAGCAGTTTCTCTGTTTTGGGCGTAATTTGATTGACAGGAATCTGCCATCCAGTGCATCGTAAATAAGCATTTTCTGAGAATAGGATGCTGCATGTTTTGTAAAGATGACACAGTTAAGGGTGAAATGCACAGAAGATAACAACCTTATTGTCTGAAATAATTTTAATAGTTAATAGTCCAAACTGTACTCTTAAAGTTAGAAGTTAATTTATTGAAATATTCTTCTAATAGTACTATGTTTTTCCAAAAGGATACAATTGACTCCAACAACAATTTTAATTGCTTCCAAAGCTTGTAGTGTTCCAATAACTCCTGGGACTTCATGCATTGAATGACAATAAAAAACCATGTTATTTACAACTGTGGAATACTTTTATTAACTAACAAACATTTGTTAATGTATTCAATAAGCTCTGACAGTACCTGGTCCCAGGACTCCAGTATCTGAACAGTTACCAACAGATTCTGGCAGAGGAGGACTTGGGAATAAACAGCGGTAGCAAGGACCCCCATCATGGTTGTATACAGTGAGCTAAAAATAGATAAATGAATGTAGGTTTGACTAAGAGATACATGTAGTGCAATTTTTATTCAGGTGTAATGAATCCCCCAAAAAACTAATTGATGGAATTCAATATTTTCAATTTATTTATGATACCTGTCCTTCAAATCTCAAAGCACTGCCAGACACCAAAGGCTTCTGAGCCAAGACACAGGCATCATTCAAGAGATACCTATTAAATTACAGAGATGCAGCATTAGTTAGCTTGATAGTGTGTTGTTGAAACTTTTGAATGTCATCAACGATACCTTCAAACACTTACTGCTACATATATGTTTACAAGCTAACTATTAACAGTTTATCCTGGGTAATCAGACCTTGTCCTTCAGACAAGTCGCATGCTTGTTTTTGTTTCCCTTTTCTATGACTTGATTGGCAAATGACTTTTCTGGGCCTCTGTCCGTCGGGTGAGTGGACATGAAAAGTTACTTACCCCACACAAAAATCTACACATATACTCGTCCAAGACGAGTGGATGGTACTTTTCATGAGCCCTGGTAAAACTTGGCAAGTAAGTGTTTTCCCCAACTCAAGCACACAGCATGTAGAAACAGAGGTCAGGCTTACAACCTCTGAATCAAGAGCCATGAAGACCTGCCATATGTATTACTGCACTAAAAATTAGTTACATAATTGAACACCCATGTTATGGAAAGTAAACATGCAGTCTAACTTACCTTGTAGCCACATTGTCTGTCGCATCTAACACAATATCATATGTTTGAATATTAAGGATCACAAAAATATATATTATGTGAACTTTTCTTATATTAATTTAATGACAGAATTTGTTCATAAGCCATTAACAATGCCTCATGCAGCAACCAGGGCTTCAGCAGTTGCCTGCCATAGCATGAAGTATCTAGGTGTATTGCTATGTGCTCCCCATGGATGCAATGCTAGTCCATTTGCATGTCAGAAACTTTAGGAAAACCAAATGAATGAACAATGGCCCCTGTAACTACATTGTAGGATTTCTTGCTATGGGTGGTTCGGGTAACTAAGTGTGACCCATGATATATTTCACTGGTTGTCAATGGAAATGATGGCTGCGATCACATCTACAACCTAACTAAAGTTTAACTTGAGTTAGTGTCAAGTTACGTGACATCATACCTAACTGTTGTTAGTGCTTTCGGTCGATGTTGTGATCACACCACGCAGTTAACTACAGTTAGTTCTAATTAGCCTATGGATGACGTCAGAATTAAAAGAAGTTTGTGATGGCCCTGCGAGGAAGGTCTGGAATTCATCGCAGCAAATACNTTTTTTTTTCAGGCTTTAATTTCATAACTGCTTATAAGTTGTCTATATAACTGTGATGATCAATCAAGTCTTTGTATCTTTCTCTGCAGTTCAAATATATGATCTTTCATATATTCACTTGAAACAAAAGTTATGTTGTCTAATTTGCAACTTAAGCAAGATATCTGATTCAAGTGTTCACATCTACTAGGTTGCCTAAGAGTTAACTATTTTAATGAAACATCTATGGGACTCTGTCTATTCCAATCTTTTTATATACTATATACCGGTAGTTGCATACCTACTCCAGCAGCTGCCAGATACTGTGCCGCAGGACACCCAAGACCACCAGCACCAACAATCAGGATTGAAGCATTACACAATTTTATCTGTCCTGTGGGACACGTCATGAGTATACAACATCAGTAAATCACAAATGTGCTAAACTTGAAGTGATCAGCTGTGGTTATTGTTAGCAATTAGATTATGAGCTCAAGATTAATTTCTATCCTGAGATAGTTGACTAGGGCCGTGCCCTTGTCACCTATCACACATAGAAATCCCAAGCTCTTAATCTAATTGTTTTAGTACAAATCTACTTGTCATTCAAAACCTTAACTAAATCGTCTTCACCGACACTTAGATAATGCAAAGAAGCAGCTCTCATTTTGTTAACAACTGCACACAGCTAGGCTACTCACTGTGTACATCAGAATAGATAGTGTGCAGTGTAGCCAATCATAGAATGGCATTCGTGATAGAATGCTGGTAGATTTATACAAAGATTCCGTATATATGGACCCTATTCATAAATTGGTCTAACTTGCTAACATCAACTTACGTATCATGGTTAACCAAGCCCATTTTGTTTCAAACAACTTACCCTTTACACCAATCTCTGGTAAGATAAGTTGCCTGCTGTAGCGTAAAATGTCATCATTATTAAGTCTTTCCTTTTTTTCTGGTGCCACGAAACTTGAGGAATGTGACGATGTTAAGATAGAGGCCTCTGCGGATCTTTGTTCTTTTTCCTGCAAGAGCAAGGAAAGTTCTCGTTGTGGCGATGCATCTTGATTAGGACTGAGATGCTGCTGAGGTTGTGTTAAGCAAGAGAGAGGCGCAGAGCTTATGCGTGGCATGTGATGAGGGCAAAAATTAGTGTGTGACGTGTGAAAAGCAACTAAAAGACAAATTAGCTCACATGATTCGCAAATTTTGGAACAGCAAATTGTTAAAAGCAGCTTAAAGGATATGTGAGTCTACTCAAAAGGATAACATTGATTCATCATATCAATGTTTCTATACCTTCGGACGCGTTCAGAGAACCTACCTTTCGTGCCAATAGTATTTTCATTGATTCAAGTTCCAAAGATTTTCGTTCAATCTCTTGCCGCAAAATTTCCAACTCGTCCGCCATTTTGTCACTAGGTTAGTACCCATTCACCTTCCATCTATGACTGGTATGGTTACCAAGCTTCACGAACGAAAGAAAATGGCGGATGGCTGCAAAATTTCCCTCCATCTTTAATACACATCTACCATGTTTTCTAGGCCCGAAGCTAAAGAAACTGAAGGCGATTTGCTTCGTTTCCAAGAGCAATTTATCGCAGGTCGTTTAAACCCATCAGCCACCGTGGTTCGGTCGAACACACGCGAAGAACCTCGATCGTCTTGTGCAGGTGACAAGAGAGATTCACCTTGTAGGACTCAAGTAGACAGAGATGTTGTTACTTTAGACGGTAGGTTTTGAAGCTTTTATGAACTGCTATGGAACATTGTAAAGTTAAGCAGACATGTCATCAAGTGTCGATTGCTACATATGACTCTGTCAAGACTCAGCTGATTATTGACTTACTGTCGATTGACTATCGACCGACTGTTGATCGAATGTCGAATGACTGTTGATTGAGTGTTGATTGAGACGTTGATTGAGTGCTGACCGAGTGTCAGCTGCAATTGTGGGTAAAGATGGGGATGTCGATCAAGTGTTGATTGAGATGTCAGTCGAGGGTTGATTGAGCACCCGACTGCAGATGCCTTTAGTACACATGATCCAATTAAGTTAATAGACAAATGTGTCAAGAATTGGCTAAAAAGCACCATACTGCAACTTATTGGTGACCTTGGGTTGGAGGGTGAAAACATGGGGGTGAGGGGTACACTAACTAGTGAGAAGTATATTGAGACTGAAGTCATAACACTCTTGTGCTGGTGAACCTGAACAGCACTCCAGACTGGTTAGCCTGAAATATAATGCTCAGGTTAGACTGTTTACAGTTAGCTTGCAGTAATGGTAATGGCAATACCCCTCATCCCTTATTTCCACTTTTAGCCCTGCATTGTGAAATTGTGGCAAAAAATTGGGTCTAGCTCCTAGGTAGTCCTCTTTTCTGGAAATTATGGAAAATGCTCTTCCATTCAAACTTCCAGAAAAGCAAACCAGGAGTTTTGGTCCAATGGAAAGCACCCCAGGATTTTGTTCCATACTCACTTTAATGTTAATGGCTATGGTTCGACTGATGAATAATTATTGTTCATTATGCTAGAGAATTCATTCTTGAGAAGTTTTTT